CAGAGAGGGCACCTATGTGGAAGGTGCCATCTCCGATCGACGGTCGGACGATGAATCGGTTGGGCAGGACATGGTAAAGGGAGACTGAGAGTGACGACGGAGGGGAGAAGGCCGTGACCTGGAAAGCAATAGTGGGAGAGGTCTCGGAGTCATCTTTAGGGACGAACCACTCCCCAGGGACTGCCGAGGGGGGAGGGGGGGAGCGAAGGGCTGACCACCAAGGTTTGGGGATGGCACGGATGAGTTCGCGCCAGACTCTTCGTCCAGAGGAGGAGTTGGCTATGGGAAACAGTGAGGTGAAGTGTTTGAAGGAGACCACACCAAACGAGTGGAAGATAAGAGAGATCAAATGGCCGACACGGACCTGCTTAGATAGGAGGAAGTGTTCACGCGTGAGAATTCCGAAGGGCTTCCCGTTTGGTTTGAGAATGAAACGATTGAAGGCGGTAGGCTCGCCCATTATACACATAGGGACAAGGCGAGGTGGAGCAATGTTCGGAGTGATCTCTATTAATGCGTGTAGTTCAGCGAGTGCTCGACCTGGGATTATCGTTGGCAGAATGCCTGCTTGAAGGATGGCAGGGTGCGCGAAGAGACAGTGTGTGCCAAATGGGAGGCAGACGGCGGCTCTGGCTACCTCTTCTGATGGTGAGGCGCCGAGGCGACGGAGCGCGCGATGAGCAGCTAGAGCACGGATTTGGGTGGAGGGGGCAATCGCTCCAAGGCCTCCTTGGCGGGTGGAGTTATACAGGAGCCGATTAGGGATGAGACGGATCGCGAGGCCGTGCTCCTTGAAGCGCGAAGAGGATAGAAAGTTCCCGACCAAGACGTCTAAGCGTTTGATAACGTCGGGGGAGGGGGTTTGAAAGCGGCCGGGGAAGGAGATGATAGAGTTTAAGAAGACTGACGCAAGTGACTTGCGGCAGGTGGCTGTGGCACGAAGGGCGGCGAGGAACTTAGCCGTGCGTTGAACGCGAGAGAGAGTCGTGGACCAGGTAGTGGCGCCTGGTTGTGCACGTTCAACGTAGATGCCAAGAATGCGTTCTGCCTCTTGAGGAGTGCGAATGGGAATGGGGATAGCCAGAAGGATTTGTTCCGGGGAGATGTGAAAAGGAATTATTGAGCATTTGTTCCAGTTGGGGTGTTCTCCTGAGACTGCGGCAAAGGTCCGGAGGTGTATGAGTGTGGTCCCAAGCTCTCTAGCAGAGGAGAGGAAGATGGTGACGTCGTCAGCGTAGCAGGCCATGAGACGGCGCTGCGTCGTAGAGAGGGGGAAACCCGGGAGGAAGAGCGATAGGTAGCGCTGTAGGATTTCAATGACACACACAAAGAGGAGGGGGGCGAGGGGGCATCCTTGTCGGACCCCGGTTCGGACTGGGAAGGTGGGTCCAGCGAGGTTGTTAACAGAGATGCAGGTGGAGGTGCTAGTGTGCATGAGGCGAACCCAGGCGATGAACTGCTCGGGGAGTCCCACCCTGGCAAGCGCTTGGAAGAGGAAAGCTCGATCGACCAGGTCATAGGCCTTGCGGAAGTCAACCGTTAAGGCGAGAAGTGGGGTTTTCGTGATTGTGCTCCAGTCGAAAATGTCGAGTGTATCGTTGATCGTATCGCCAATTTTCCTGCTTTTAATGAAAGCGGTTTGGGAGGGGTGGATAATCAGGGGAAGAGCGAGTTGCAGCCGATTGGCAAGGCATAAGGCTAGCACCTTGTAGTCCGAGTTCATGAGGGTGATAGGGCGGAGGTTGTCGATCATAGAGGAGCTACCCCTCTTGGGAATAAGGACTGTGCGGCCTGACAGCATTGACGGCGGGAGGGTAGCGGAGATGTGCGGTGAGGAGAAGAGTGAGAGAAATGCGGGGGCGAAGCGGGTCTTGTATTGTCGGAAGAGCTCGCCCGGGATGCCGTCAGGGCCGGGGGTTTTGCCACGGGAGAGCTGGTTTAAGGCCTTGCTAATTTCCATCAGGGAAAAGGGAGCTTGCAGATGGTTGAGGAGTCTGGGGGGGAGTGAAGAGGGGGGGATATGAGCCCAGAAGGCAGGATTTGGCACGTCCGAGGTTGCCCCGCTGTAGAGAGACTGGAAGAATTTGGTGCATTCAGCGGTCATGGCTCGTAGATCTGAGATGGTTTGTCCATCTGGTAGTATAAGCGAGGAGATTAATGAGTCTTTGATGCGGGAGTTGAGTCCTGCCAGCAAGGAGGAGGTTCCCATCTCCCTATGGCCCTCGACTTTGAGCTTTGCTTTTAGAGCGAGCTCGGCGGTTTTGGATGCCTCGTATTTTGTTAGTTGAGTGCGGGCTTTGAGGAGCTGTGTGGTCGCATCATGGTCAAGAGGGGAGAGGGCAGATTGGAGCTGAAGGTGGCTAATGAGTTGTACTAGGTGGTTTGTAGTGCTTGTAACCCTTTTGCGCTCTTCGTTCGAGAAACTTTTGAGGCTAAGCGTGAGGGCCAGTTTCCAGGCGTCCCATGCATCGGAGGAAGGGCGTGATGGCAGGGAGGGGAGGTGAGATTCGATTATGGTAGCGACTTGGGGCCGGTGGAGGAGAGAGGAGCTGAAACGCCAAGGTCGCGGTGCCATGGTTGGGTTGTCGAATGTGAGGGTGCAGAGGGGTGCAAAGGAGTGGTCAGAAACGTCAGTTGGGGTCCAGAGGTAGGAGGTTTCAGAGGCCCGAGGGATGAATGAACTGGAGAGGTAGAGTCGGTCCAGTCTAGAGGCGGGCGGGAGAGCAGTGCCAGCGCTGGCCCATCGGCCAAAGTAGGAAAAAACGGGGGCGGTAGGGTGGAGTGAGCGGTACACGTCGGACAGTGCGTGCGATAGCAGGAGATTAGACACCATGGTGGCTTCGCTGAGTTCGTGACCAAGTAGCGGGCGGTTACGGTCTGAGGGGGAGATTACCGAGTTGAAGTCACCGGCGAGGATTGTGGCAGCAGCTGCGGTGGGTTGCTCCAGTGCGGGAGTTAGGATGGATCTCCACCAGATCCGGCGGTCAGTGGCAGGTCTCGGCGCATAGATAGCGAGGATGCGAAGTTGCTCCCGCAGGAAGTTGATATGTACGGATAGAAGGCGGCCATCGGCGGAGGGGGAAGGGTGGAGTGAGCGGTACACGTCGGACAGTGCGTGCGATAGCAGGAGATTAGACACCATGGTGGCTTCGCTGAGTTCGTGACCAAGTAGCGGGCGGTTACGATCTGAGGGGGAGATTACCGAGTTGAAGTCACCGGCGAGGATTGTGGCAGCAGCTGCGGTGGGTTGCTCCAGTGCGGGAGTTAGGATGGATCTCCACCAGATCCGGCGGTCAGTGGCAGGTCTCGGCGCATAGATAGCGAGGATGCGAAGTTGCTCCCGCAGGAAGTTGATATGTACGGATAGAAGGCGGCCATCGGCGGAGGGGGAAGGGGAGGTGAGAGATATTGCTCTGTTGAAGGATAAGATGGAGATGCCGCCGGGTTGCGGACATGGATGACCGTTTGAATTCAGTGCGTAGAGGGTGGGTGCGTGTACCGAAGAGTGTGGCCGGAGTTGGAGTGACAGTTTAGGTAGGTTTTTGGAGAGGCGTGTGTCCACTAAAATGAGAATATCTGTGTGCGGTGAGGAGGAGGAGAGCCAACGCTTTAGAGCATTTCGTTTAACCGGCGTATTGATACCATTGATGTTGAGGCAGCGGACTCGTAGGGGCGTTAACATTCTACCAGGTGGGAGCCCACCGCGCAGTAGTGTGCGCGGATCCACGGGCGTGGGTGTTTATACAAAAGGGAAGGAAGTTGGTGGAGGTTGTGGGTAACAGTCGAGCTGTCAACGAGTGCGAACCGAAGTTGGTGGTGGGTATGCTGGCATACTGGTTTGATTCGGACAACACCAGAGGCGCACAAGAAGGTAGGGAGATGTTGGGCGACAGAACCAGGGTGTAGAGGTGCCGCATACAAGTGAAGCTTGAGCAAGTGTGTGTTAAACTTAAGAGTGAGAAGTGAAGGGCTCCAGTTTTGAGTAGTAGCGAAGCTGATAGGTGGCGTGTGATCAATAATGCTTGAATGCGGCAAGGTGAAGCGTGGGATGAGTCTGCCTTTATGAGAGCAGTAAAAGTTGTATTCCTGGGTAGTGACGAGAAGGAGAGTACACCGGGGGTCGGGAGTGCTAGCGTATTCACAGGTGGAGCATGTCAACCATGACGACGTATGAGAACAGGTAGCGAAGTAACGCGGGGCATGCGGACGAGGGTCAGCAGGAACAAACGTGGTGGCAGGCGGACGAGGGGGGCTCTCTGGCGGGACCATCTCGCCTCTTCTGTGTCCGTGCGAGGGTTGATTTCGGTCGGTAGGTGCGTCGACCGAGTGAGAACCTCTGGCGGGAGGGGAGGCCACGATTACAGGGGGAGATTTTAAGGCGGGTGTGAGGAGGTGTTGCGGCCGCTGACGGCTGTCGGGCGTACAAATGGGGGCGTGTGTGATAAACAGGCGTGGATGCTCGCTCTGGTGATTCATGGTGAGAGTGAGCTTGACATGGCTGCGCGTTAGGCGAGTGTCAAGCGGGGTTGGGGTATTGGTGTTAGCATTTTGGGGGGTTAGCCGACTGCGAAGGTCGTTCATTGTTGGGGCTTGGTTTGGACTGTTCACGGTAAGGCAACAATTGTGAGGGTGTGTGATCATGGTGGTTGGCTTGAAGCACACGCGTGCGGGGGGACGCAACTCCACCGGGCTGGCCAGGGCCTGAGGTGGCTGGCTTGGCCTGTGCGCGAGGGGTGAAGGTTGGTAGAAGCGTGAGGTGGGTGAGGCAGGTGTGGGGTTGAGTAGTTGTTGGGGTGAGGGTTTAAAAATGGCGTATTTGGTTTTTTGCGTAGATGTGAGAGTTGGAGTGAAGACTAGCAAGGAAAATGATAATACGTAGAGTTTGACAAACATGATTGTGCGCACATGAGTTGCATATCCAAGGTCTAACTGGGTGCCTGCTAAATGACAGAGCCAAGGAACTAGCCACGCATCAAAGCCAAGGTGCGCGGGTCGTAACGCTAAGGGCGACCGCGAAGGAAGGCAGCCACCGGGGCCTTCTGCTGCAGCAGGGTGAGTGCGCGCCAGGGGCCAAATTCTTCCTTGGCAGCCGGGCGGTGAGCGGAGGCCTTCACGCGGTTGACGTGCAGGTCGGACTGGATATGCTCCATGGCGCTGTCGAGGGCAGCGCCGCAGGTGAAGTCGCAGAGAGCGCAGGTCCAATATTCGACCCAATCGCCCAGCCCAATGTAGAGGAGGCCGGGGTCGTTGCCGAAGGCGGTCGGCGCGGCATGATTGCCCAAAGAGTTGCCTGCAAGAGAGGAGGCGGGTGGGGGGAGACAGGGGGGGCAGGGGGGACGAGGGGGTGGACGAGGGGAGGGGAGGGGGAGTCAGGGAGGAGGGGGATGTGGGGGTGAAGGCCAAGAGGGGGGAGACCATGAGGTCTGGTTGGCTGCGGGTGGAGGGAGGTGCAGAGAGGGGTGGGAGGTGCGGGGGAGGGGCAGGGGTGTTCGGGGGCCCAGGCGGGGGGGGGAGAAGGAGCCAGAGGGGGGTGGATCGGCCTACTCGAGAGCAATGAGGGAGAGGCCGGGGGAAGAGGGCTGTTGGCAGAGGGGGGGAGCCTCGGTGGGGATCAGGCAGCCCGGTTATAGCACAGGGGGCGGTTGCAGATGGGTTCCTGAGTGGGTGGGGGGTAAAGAAAGTGAAGAGGGGGTTGAAAAGAGTGAGGGGGGGGAAGGCGAGATTGAGGGTAGGGGGGGGGGGGGGAGGGGAATCGGGGGAGAGGAAGTGGGGGGGGGAAGTCGGGGGGTCGGGGGAGCAGAGAGGGGTGCTGGTTGAAAAGGGGGGGATAGGGCAGGGGGAGAGGAGCGTCTCCATGCCAGCATAAGGTTGGGCAGGGGGCCCGCCCTCTGGAGAGATCGTGGGAGGAGTGTCGGGAGGGGGCAGAGAGGGGGGTACCGTAGGAGGGTCCAGTCTGCTAGTGGGAGGGGGGTGCGGGTGGGGGGCGAGCTTGTGGGAGGGCGGGGTACTGTCCTCCGAGGGGGAAGGGGCGGGAGTGTAGTGGGGGGTGGGGTTGACGTGGGTAGGGGCAGGGGGTGGGGGATCATGGGTGAGAAAGAGATTTCGCGATGCGGAGATTGCGTGGGGGGTGTGGGAAGATGGGGGAGTCGTGAGGGTGGGCGGAGGCCCGACTGTAGGGGGGGGAGAGGAGGGTACAGAGGTGACAGGGGCTGAGCGTCCTTGGGCGGGGGCTTGCCTGCATGTGTTGGAAAGAGCAGGGAGGGGGGGGTGGCGTGGGGGGGAAAAGGGGTTGAGTGGGAGCCCCACAACATGGGGGGCCGGGGGGTGGGGGGCTGTAAGGGAGGGGTGGGTGACAGGGGGGAGGACAGGGTGAGGGGGGGCAGTTGGCACAGGGAGAGGAGTGAGAAGGGAGGGAACGAGGGGAGTGGGTAGGGGCAGAATGAAAGTGGGGGTGGCAGGGGCCCGGACGGCCGTGCGGGGGGGGGACAGCAAGGCAGTGGGGGGCGGGGGCTCTTAGGGAGGGAAGGACAGCGGGGGGGGGAGCGCGGGTGTTGTATGGGAGCATGAAGGTTGCGCGATAGGGAGGGGGTAGACCGAGGGGGGAGTGGTGAGAGGATGGGGGGCAGCGGAGGAGCACATGAGGAGGCAACGGAGGCAGGCTAAGGGCGTGCAATGACAACAGGGAGGGAGGATTTTTGCGGTTAAGACAAGAGGGGAAGATTTCGTACCGTTTGCCTGCTGCAGCTGAGCGATTGAGATGGTGTTCTTGTTCGTGAGGCGTCCTCGGCGGCGGGCAGCGAAAGTCTCGTGGTCCGGTGCGCGGTGGTTGTTACCGCACAGCGTGCACACGTGGCAGGAGAAATTGAGCAGCATAGTTGGCTTGTTCTCCTCCAGCAGGAATTCGGACGGGATTCGTTCGAAATTCGGGTCATCGGGGGTGGCGACCGGGAGTCCTGCGAGGTGAGTGAAAAAGGTGTTCTCGTAGGGGTCGGAAGCGCGGTGAAAGTCAGTCAGATCCGCGAGCCAATGCGAACCATCCTCCTCGGTGGACCCGAGGAGGAAGGCGCGGATCTCCTCCGGATCGATCTCCAGGGGGACGTTTCGGATAGACAGGGTAGGAGCGCCGGCTGCCTTTGCCGCGGTAAAAGCTTCATACCGATCAACAAAGACCTTCAACATGACGGGGCGGGAGTTGGAGATTTTCAGCATGAGAGGAAAAATCTTGCGAAAAACAGCCGCGTCTTCCTGCGACGGCCAAGAGAACAGCAGGCGGCCGTACACGTGGCGGGCCACGCGGAGGGAGTCGCCGACAGTGTGCTCGAAGGGGGGGATGATGCCCGAATCGAACATGAAGCCGCACAGCTGCGCGTTGATTCCGGCGAGGATTTCCGTGCGGTGCGACTCCAACACGGCCTCCGGGAGGAGGAGCGTGACTACCACGCGGCGGCGAAGGGGAAGGAGCATCGGGGTGGCTGCGGAGGTGCGCGCACGGCGGAGGTTGCGGGGGGGTCCGCCGGGCGCGGATGAGGCAAAGAGCGAGGCGGGCAGCGCGGGAGCCGGGTTAGCGCCGGAGGCGGCCGTTGCGTAGGCAGCAGCGCGGAGAACCGGGACGTTGGGGGCGGCAGCTGTTGCTGCCAGAGAGGGCGCATGGCCTTGCTGAGTCAACGTGGGAGCAGTAGCGGCAGCGAGGAGCACAGAAGACGGCGCGGGCTGCGCCAGCGCCGAGTCGGAGGAGGTGGAGGGGGAGTTGAAGCTAGCAGGGCCAGCACCGGGGTCCATGCAGGGCTTCTTCGCAGCAGGGTGGTCAGGGGAGCTCGCGAGGTCATCGAGTAGTCCTTCGGGAAGGTCGTCGACCAAGAGATCGTCGCCGGATTCAGCGATATTTTCCTCTTCAGCGGCGGACATCGTGAGATCGGGGTTGAAAACCTGCTCAGCCATACAGAAGAATGTGTAAAGGAGTCGTAGGGGACTGGGAGGAGAGAAGTGAGTGATTGACGAAGGCTGAGGTGGGTTAAATAGGGCGGGAGCGAGGGAGCGCCCGCGGGGGAGCGTCAGGACGGAGGGGAGGCAGAGGAGCGGCGGAGGCGGACGGGCGTGAGGCCGTGGAGGCGAGGCTCTGATGGCGGCTCGTTGGGAAGGGTTGGGAGGAGGGCGGACGGGAAGGGGAGTGTCGGGAAACGCATGGGCAGCGCGTAGGCAACGGGAAACGTGGCGACGTGGCGAGTAACTTGAGGGCCAGAGGCGGGAGTGGGCGCCTAGTTGGCAGCCCGAAACCCGGGACCGTTCGAGGGTCCGAGCGCTCGCGCGCGAGAAACGAAACTGGCAGCCTAGGCGGCGCGCCAAGTTTCTGAGCCATGTAGTGGGCTCTGCCGGAGGCGGCAATTGAGTGGAAAGCGGGGCAAAGGCAGCAAAATTGCCAGAAGGGACGGGAGATCCGGGAGTGTTGGCGCTTGGGAAGGCACGGAAGTACAGAGGCAAGAGGAGATAGCACGTAGGCGAAAAAGGCGGGACGAAGGCAGGGGTGAAGGCGACCAGAAAAACGGGAGGAGATGGGGGGTTAGCTGTATTCGGCGATTGCAGTTTGTCGAGGAAGTCCTTGGAGTTCGATGCAGAACGGGACAGCTTGGCAGGAGGAGGCCGATCTGTTGGTGAGGGTTTGGAAACAACGCAACCGAGCTTCCTGGGAGGGGACGGGGCTGAGGCGAGGGAGTGGCGTGAGATTGGGTGAGTGCGCACAAAAAAAGGGAGGGAAGTTGGGGTTAGCTGGCGCTGAGGTTGGAGCAGAAATTTGCAGTGAGCGCGAGATGCCACGGGGGAAAAAGAGAAGGGGAGGGTTGCACTTACCTGGAACGAAGGTTGACGTGGCGCGTTGAGGCTGGGAGGGAGTCCGCCAGGGATCCGTTGGGGGAGGGAGTGGCCAATTGGAGTAAAAAAAAAGGAGGGGGCGGGGAGTGGGGGGCTATCCTGCTGGTGTAGAGCCGGGGTGGGGAGTAGCCACGTGAAAACGAGAGCTGTAGAAAAGAAAAAGAAAAGGAAAAACGATAGCATAAACTTACCTGGAAACGAAGATGAGTCGTATAGGGGGAACCTGCCTAGGCGGCTTAGGGTTTGACTAGCTTCGTAGCCTAACAGGCGGGTAGTTTGGGCCGAGGAGGCCATCGCGCTATCGATCGGGGAAGAATCAGATTTGAGACACCCGTGCCCTACTGTGGGGTTGATTGGAACGAAGTTCCATCTGGGCGCTACTTGGGAGAACGGGTAACGTCAGGTGGGGCGTGAGGTGCGGATGTCAGGGGGTGCACCGTACAATGTCCCCAGATGCATGACCGCTACTGCTAGACTTGGAAGTCACTTCACTTCTCATCTACAGTTGACCGTAAGGTGCAGCTAGTTTCAGAGCGGTCTAAACCATTGAACGTAATACCAGTTCCCGGTATCGATAGTGAAGCCAGACCAGGGATGGTACCACGGTTTTTAGTCCTTTCGAATTCTCAACCTAGCGCTCACACTCAACCAAAACGGCCATGGTTCCATGCCATTCCCTATGGGTTTAAGTTTTGTTCTGCCCCGGTCAGGCGCGGGGTTGTTTGTCCGTTGAGACATTTTGAGAGGAAAGCTGCTCTCCGCTCTTCCTTGCAACGAGGACTGCCCTCGAGACAGTTTTTGAACCCTCCCTTGCTCAGCATTTGAAACCCTCGTTCTTTCTCTCTCCCCCCTGTTTCCGACCTTCGCTTCACATAACAGTTCAGTGTCACGCTGCTATCTGAGACCCCTGAATGCAGTGGAGAGCTTCTCTTCACATAACAGTTCAGTGTGTCACCCTGTTTCTTGAAACCCCTCACACTCCCCTGTTGAAACCCCAGCCTGCAGTGGAGAGCTTTAGTTCTCAGCTCTTGTGACTGGAAACGCTACTTCCCATTTCAGGGTCGCACTTTTAGGCGACACAGACCTTCAGCAGATTTTTTTTTAGTGACACTGACTGCTTCTTAGAGTTTATCAGTTCGCAACTTAGCCATGGAACCGCAGTCAGAGTCCAACACTCCCAGCCCTGAAGCCCCAGCAGCACCACCACCTCCGTTGCAACAAGCCCTGATTGCCGCGGTTGAACATAATCAAAGCGCAGAAAATATTGACACGGGTGACATTGAAAACACAGCTCCCGCTGGAGGCACAGCTATTATTGAAGCTTCAGCGGCTATCGAAAACAAAACCGCTATTATTGAAGCCTCAACGGCTATTGAAGCCACCGAAGCCGCCCCGTCCAGCACTCCTCGAGGCGACTCCGTCGGAACAGCTGGAGACGATGGCGGACTTAATGCCGACACGGCAGCTAACGCTAATCGCGGACATTGGAGAGAGGACGAGGTCATCGAACTCGTTAAAGCCCACGTGGAGCTGGACCCGGAATACCACATCATGCGGGGAGTTCAAGGCTCAAACTACTACGGCGAATTGTACCGCATTCTGCGGGCGAAATTCCCCGATTTCCGTCACACGGAGGGGTCCGTCAAGACGAAGCTGTTCCGCCTGAAAGGACAGTACTTGCAGCTTCGAGACCGGATCGAGCGGTCCGCGTCTGCTGCTCCCCGGAATCTACCGGAATGGTTTGTCTTGCTGGATACTGTCATGGCTCGGGAGTCCAGTAGTCGGCAGACTGCGACGGCGGCGAACCAGCAAGGTTCTCGGATAACGCACCCGTCGACTAACTCAGGTAAGGGTACGATCCTGCTCGAAACGCCGCCATATCTTAGCGTTTTGATATTTATGTGTGCTTTTTTTGTTGGTGTGAAGATACGGTGTTGTTGAGCTGTCTCAAGCTGATTTACCGTGTGAATAGACACACCCTCAATGGTAGCGGACTAATAGAGGTGTCTGCGATTCCTGTGTTCAGGTCGTATGGCAGCCCTGCTCACGAATGCCGGCCAAGAGAGGAAGCTTCTTTCCGCCGAGACGCCTGCATATGCGTTTCCAGTCACGCCGACGTGGCCCGACACAGCAGGCCAAAGCGGACTTGCAAGAAACAGCCTGTTTCAAAATATTTTTTCAACACCAGAACCACCGATTTCAGCTCCAACTCCACCACCAGCAACAATTTCTCCGTTCGCAGGTGGCGGCGGATCGGGCAGTTATTTGCTTTCTCTTCGTAACTCCATTACTCCTGTTCCTACTCGGGAGACTGGCAGGCTGAGGATGGGAACCGGTGGGTTTGGTGAGGGAAGGAAGAAGCGGGGAGCAGCAGCAAGAGGAGCAGGGATGCTGTCAGGGCCTGAAGCATCCATTGCTGCGGCTATGGCTGAAAAGTTTGCAGCTGCAATGGGCTCTGCGGTGAGAAACGCATGCTTTCAGTTTGAGGAGCTAACCCGAGAGCTGCTGGAGAATTCGTGCTCTCAGTTTGAGGAGCTTTCAGCTAGATTGGCCGAAAATGCAGCTGCTCAGTTTGAAGATGTTGCCAGAGAACTGGCAGCTAACTTTGGGGCTAGCCAAGATGTCAAGAGGCGTAGGAGGTAAATCTGGTTGTCTCTGATTAAAATTACCATGTGGCTATCCGAAACGTTTCGTATTGTAGATATTGTATGGTGGTTGACAAATGAGATTGTCTCTGTACTTGTGGGACACTATTGAATTGGTGAAAAGTTCTGTGGTAGGAGCTGAAGGCTGCACATGGCTGAAACATGCAACTGACCACATGTGGAGCAAAACACAAGTGACCATCTAACTAAACCTGGCATCATTAAAAAAAATAGCCACTTGTGGAGCAAAAAACGGAGGACAACCTTAACCACTCCCCCATCAAAACCTCCTCCGCCTCTTGTAGTCCTGCCCGGCTTTCCACGACTCAGAAAACTCCCTCGCAGCACTCCTGAACTGCAAGCACGCCCTCTCTGCCATATCAGCCACCATCCCCTCAAACTCACCACACGCTCTCTCCACCCACTCCTGAGTAAGCCCCTCGAAATCCGCAAACGCATTCTCAACCGCCTCATCCATCACATCACCCAGCCCTTCAGCAGCCATCAGGCCTGTCCTGCCGGCCGTGCGACGTGCACTCAAGTGTGAACGCACCCCGGGATTGACTGCAAACCCCTCTCTCTCTCGCCACCCTGATCCCCACCTGCCCCTCCTCCACCCCGTGGGTCCCAACCCTGCTGCCATTCTCCTCCCCCCTCTGGTAATGGGGGGAGACATTTGCATGCCATCTCGAGGAGAAGGCGGGGAAGCCAGCCTATCATCCTCAGCAGAAGCTGGTGACGTCAGCTTATCACCTCCGGCCGAAGCAGGTGACGTCAGCCTATCGTCTTGAGCAGCATGGGGGGGCGTCAGCCTCTCAGTTGGAGCAGAAGGGGGAGGAATCGACATTTTGGCCCGGGGAGACAGTGGGATTGTGGTGGCAAGGAGTGATTGCAGGTAGCTTCTGCCTGAATCGTTGGCTCCTGCAGCTGCTGTTCCAGGTGCTGCTCCTGTTCCTGTTCCTGTTCCTGTTCCTGTTGCTGTTGCTGGGCCTGCTGATATTGCTGCTGCTGTTCCTGATCCTGTCCCTGCTGCTGTTCCTGCCCCTGCTGCTGTTCCTGCTGCTCCCCCTCCAGCTGCTGCAGAAGTGGTAGACAGAGGAGGTACCGACGCTGCTATCGGAACAACACCACGCAATGGATTGCTTGCGCCGAGCACTGCCAATGCCAATGCCCCAGCAGCAGTCGCTGCAGCAACAGCTTGCCCAACAGTTGATGACGCCCCAGTCGCCCCAGGTGCTGATGCTGCTCCGGCATTAAGTGGCAACGTAGCAGCTGCAGTCGGGGTGTACAGTGCAGAAACCTCTCGGGCAGATCGGGGAGGGGGAGAGACATACTGCTGTGCTTTTGTAACTGCTGCAGTGGGCAGGGTTGGGAGAGCTGGGGAAGGATACTGCAGTGTTCTCGCGTTTGCTGCAGTGGGCAGGGTTGGGAGAGCCGGAAACGAATACGCTTCAGCGTCGTCGAGAGAACCGTCGAGTGGGTTCAAGTCGTCTTCACTTGAATCGCCTCGTCCTCTCTCTCGCTTCGGTACTGCTGATGCTGCTGCAGGACGGCCTGTAATCGAGCAAACGCATGGGAAACATAGAGAAGGGACAGGATAACGTTTATTCCATGGCATAGCATAATACAGGCGCGGTATAGAGAGAGAGACACAGAGAGAGAGAGAGAGAGAGAGAGAGAGAGAGAGAGAGAGAGAGAGAGAGAGAGAGAGAGAGAGAGAGAGAGAGAGAGAGAGAGAGAGAGAGAGAGAGAGAGAGAAAACGCCCTCCTAGGTTCGAACGGCTAGCGTTGTAATTCCTAGAACGGCACGCACACGAAGCTCGCGCTCGCTCCTCGCGATTTCGGCGGTCGACCGCGACCTCCTCCATTTGGCCAAATTTCCCCCCTCGGCGAACGCAAGTGAAACTCTTAATGTTCCATCACCAAATCCATTTTGAGAATGCTCAAGAGTAATTTCAACGTACCTCGCGATTTCGGTGGCCGACCGCGACGCGGCCGAATCTCCCCCCTGGCCGACCGCAGGTGAAACTCGTCCCGCTCCATGACCGAATCCATCAACACATACCACTCCGGCAGCTGCTCCTTCGAAGAGACGGCTGACCGGTCCAGCCGGTTCTGCAGCCGGTAGTATTTATTCTTCATGCGGATGAGCTTCGACTTGACGGCCGGCTGTGAGTGCCGGAACTCGGGGAACTTCCGAAGCAGCAAGGCGATTAATTCGCGGTAGTAGTTGGAGCCATGGATGATGCGCATGCCGTCATTTTCGCGGTCGAGCTCCACGAACGCGTAAACCAGCTGCATGGTTTCAGTAGGGCTCCAATGCTGTCGCACGCCGTTAATCGCGCGAGCCAGATCGGCCGCGCTTCGGCGCTCACGAGCGATTTCTCTGCCGTTGACGTCACGATTGACGTCATTGTCGTCGTTATCGTCGTTGTCCTCGTCAGCCGAATCGTCATGATAGCGCGAGGCGAAAATGGGAGCGTTTAGGTAATCGCTCGGGAGCAAGCTGTTGTTGCTTGGCGACGGGGAGTCTTCTTGAAATTGCATGACTTCGGGCTGAAAAAAACTACCCTATTTACCAGTTGCGTGGTTCAGCAATGACCCAGCCTCAAGAGCGTTTCTGCTACAAAAAAGCAACTAGGAAAATCGTTCCGATCGCAAGCGACAACCGTCGCTCGCTAGCAGTTCTTGCAATTACGAACCTAGGAGGTCAAGCAGGGAAGAGGACGTTCCTCCTAGTAACAAACTGATCTCCAGCAAACCGTTCCAATAGGAAACTGATTGAAAGAAGCAGACTGTTTACTGGTTCAAACCGCTCTTACTGCCAAACCGATCAAAGGAGCATTCTAGTAGGTACACAAACCTAGGGTTTCAAAGAAGATAGCTGGCAGAAACTCGGCTGCCTTTTTTACGCTTGGTTTCTGCTCCTCCGAACGGCCAGCTGTACTTTCGAGGTCAAACGAGCCGTTTTGTTCGGCCTCCAAGAGAGTTTGAGTACGGTGCGGTGTGATCAAATGAGATGCAGTCTGGTGAGCGCGGGTACGAGCCGTTCGCACCAGTCCCTCCATCCGCGCCCAGGATGATGACGGTCCATCCCGTTTGATCAAGGGTTGATGCACGGATGCACGGTATTGTTCGGTTCTGCCTGATAGTAAATGATACAGAGTGGGAATCCGCTCACAGTATTGGTAGGCAAACCACACCAAACTGCCCTAAGCGAATTGGATGAAGGGAGGGGGCGAACCTGACGACAAGAACTCTTGTACCGAGCCAGAGCCGAACGTTTGCGACAAGAGGGTTCGTATCATGGTTCTGATTGGCCAGTTGTCTGCCACGGTGCTAGGTTCGGTCTGAGCGGGACGAGAGCAAGCAAAAGAAGTTTGTTGTTGGGCAGGTACAATGCCCAGAAAGGTTCCGGTTGACTGTCATCCCGCCACGGCAGGACAAGTTGCAAGGTCGAAACCAGCGATGCGAAGTTACTCGCTATGAGGTGTCGCTAATTCGTCGTCAAAGAGGATGGTCGTCGCTTGCGGAAGGAACGCATTGCCCGTACCACAAAAAGATGGACTTGCAACGACCTGTCAAAAGCAGAGTAGGACGCGGTGAAAGTAGACGATCGATCGTCAGTAGCGATCGATGTGCGGATCGGTTACCCTATTAACTACAATGTAACCATGTTACAGTACGCTTTCTGGCCAAAATTTCTGTACAGTGTGAGAATGCGACTGATCACTGTTCGCGGGAAATCTGTCAATTTTCAGCCGCGATCGTTACAGCGTCGCGGTCGCCATGTTTCGCCAAACGATCTGCCCACTCGATTGTGGGGATCGATATATGCAGACGATCCTGCGATATTTGCACTTTCAACGTATCCTAAGGACGCGCCACCTGAAGTGGATCGATCGGCTGGAAGATCGGTTTTGCGCCCGGGGTGTAGCACTGTAGCGTCGTAATCAATAAGGTAACAAAATTTCGCCAGCGTTGACGAATGTACAGTAAAATTGTGCCCACGACCCTGTCACCTACGGGAGCCCCGATCGATATAGCGAAGTGCATACATCGATCGTGAGATTGGTTGGCCCAGTGCAGAATTTCGCGCCACGAGTGACAGTCAAGATTGATCGTCTTCGCTCGTAGTTGCATTATAACTGCACGACAAGCACCATTTCGGCTGGCAGCATCCTGTCAACCGCTCGTTCCTGAAGGCGAAGAGCGACCTGCCGGAAGGGGTGGAAGTCTTACTCAAGGGGGTTCCTGCGGAGATTACACCTCTTATTACGAGTCATTGGTGGTCGCGAAGCTGCAGAAGCGTGGCCGTTCGGCGTTCCTGCAAGGTGCAGGTTTCCACCGCGTGGTCGACCCGGTTTCTGGCCTGGACACGGACAAAATCCGGGGTCTGGTGCTTCCGCATCCTGGCGACAAATACCGTTGGCGTCATCTGGTGGAGGATCCGCTCACTGATGCGTCATTCCTGGTGCACTTTCCGTCGCTATCCTGCTGCTACTGCCAGGGTCAGCATATGGATAAGTTGCACAATGAATGCGTGCGTGAGCGTCGCAACAGCATCGCCAAGTGGAACTTCTCGTTAGGCAGGGTCCATGGTATCAACGGTAATGGGGGGGGATTCTTACCCGGGGTTTCCAGCCGTTCACTCTTGCTGTTTCCGTCCACTAATGACGATGTGATGGGCCCATCGTGCAGCGGCCTCCCTCTCGTTGGCAGGAGTAGTGAAGAGGATTCTCCGGGACCCGGCTCTGGTCCTGATCTCAACGGGACACAAGATGGAGGAGTGGTTATGTGTCCAGGAGTGCTGCGACCGCGCACACGGGGAGACCTTCGCGCAAGCTGCTGCTCACATCGGCTCCTTTGGTCATGGTGCGGCGCTGGGTGCAGTTGGCGTTGCGACTCGTGCGAGCAAGGCGAAGCAGAGTCGGCAGGCCGCGAAGAAGCTGTATGGGATTCGGGCGGAGGCAGCAAAAGCGAAGTGATTCGGATGCATGGAGTTAGGCGGCTTATCTGTGTAGCATGGAGTAGCGGAATAGGAGATGGAGTTGTGTCTGTACCTGTCTGGAGTAATTTCGCAGAGCAATGCACTTACATCGTCACCATCACCACCGGCCCGTGGATGTTAAGGGGCCTATCACATGTTACGAATGGGTAAACACACCACACTCACCTTCAGCGTCCTGAACGTCAACGGCCTGGGCTGCTTGCAAAAGCAGCATGACGTTCGGGACTGGATATCGCAGGCAGCCCACATAGCCATTCTGGCTGACGCGCGGATCCCAGCGGATCACAACTTTTGGAGTCAACTGAGAGCGGACACGGTAGTGGCAGCCACACCATCGGCGAGGGCTGGAGGAGTGGCGATAGTCATACGAAACAGCGAGGTGTCCTGTACGGACGAAGTCTGCGACGCGTCTGGGCGGTTGGCGCGTGCAACTCTGTCGTGGAGAGGCGTGGTGCTGACGGTGGTCGCAGCGTACTTCCCGTCGAGCCCAACGGCGAGAGCTCCTTTCTTCCGGGACGTGCTCCAGCCGTTCATTGCGGCGATACCTGCGGGAAACCAGCTCATGCTGGCTGGGGACCTAAACGTTGTGGAGGATCCTGCGCTGGACAAGACATCGGGAGCGGGCTCAAGGGGGGAGAACGACAGACTGATGACGATTTGCAGCAGCTTTGATGTGAGGGACGCTTTCAGAGCCCTTCATCCATGCCTGCGGGAGTACACATTCTATGCGGCAGCGGTGCAGGAGAGCACGAGGATCGACCGGATTCTACTCTCGCAGTCGCTGCTTCACCAGGTTCATGGGGTGCGGCACGCGGAGCTGGTCAAAAGGTTCACGGACCACTGGTTCGCGGTTCACCTGAAGCTCAGCGCGGGGGGAGACGGGGAGTCAGGCCCGGGCCTCTGGAGACTGCCGGCGTCGCAAGCGCCACGTCCTGGGGTGCGGAAGCGGGTGGAGCAGATTGTGCGTAAGAACAAAGAGAGAGGAGGGGACTTGGAGTCCCTAACGGCGTCTTTAAGGGTGGGCCTCAAGGCCTACACCGTTGAGGAGCGGAAGCGGGTGGCGGCCACGACGGCGCATCTGGTACGGGAAGTCGGTGATGAACAAACCTTGGTGCTCGCGAGCGAAGGCGCGGCTTGCGAAGGGAGAAGCCAAGCTCAAGGCGTATGAGGGCGGGAGACGCCAGAAACTGCAGGAGCAGGCGGGGGTCAAGGTTGAAATGAACGGGGAAGCCCCCACGGGTTTTATGACGGCTAAGATCAAGGCGCGAAAGGCAAGGACGCGTCTGGTGGAGGTGAACTACAATGGGATTCGGCATGAGGGTGCAAAGGAAGCGCTCATGGCTGCGTCAAGCTTCAACACGGAGTTGTTCGTGGCCAGGAAGGGACCGGCTAACTCACAACTGGACTGGGAGCTGGACAGACGCCTCCCCCCCGAAGATGCAGAGGAGCTGTGCGCGCCATGGGAGGAAGCGGAGGAAAAGCGTGCGCTGGAGGAGATGGCGCGGGGCAAGACGCCAGGGCGCGACGGCCTCCCGAAGGAGCTCTGGGAGCTGCAGTGGGACCTGCTGGGCGGGCAGGTGATGCATTTTCTGAAGGAGTTTGAGCGGACGGGTGTGTTGCCCAAGGAGTTCTCGACGGCGGTGACGGTACTTCTGCATAAGAAAGGGGCTAAGGATGATTTGCAGAATTACCGCCCGATCACACTACTCAGTACGGCGTACAAGGTCATCGCGAAAGTACTGGCAAACAGGATAAAACGCAAACTGGAGAAAGTGGTGTCAGAAGGGCAGTTCGGGTTCCTACCTGGCAGAAGTCTGGCGGGCGCGGTGGCGATCGCGGCTGACGTGATAGATGCGGCGAACTCCGGCCAGGAGGACTAGCTCATGCTTCTCGTCGATTTCAGGAAGGCTTTTGATTCGGTGGGACGGGACTACCTGTTTGACGTGCTGCGGAAAATGGGCTTCCCAGAGGCTTATGTGAGATGGGTGGAAGGGTTGCACCACGGGGCGGCCACCCGCATCTGCAACGATGGCTGGCTTGGAGAGGAGGTGCCGGTGCAGACTGGGGTGAGGCAAGGCTGCCCCCTCGCGCCGTACCTATTCCTCTGTGCAGTCGAACCTTTCTGCCAGGAAGCACGAAGGAGATGGTTAGGGATTGATGTCAAAGGCGCGGGGAAACTCACGTATTTGGGATACGCGGATGATACCACCCTCCTTCTGAAAGATCGGTCGCAGCTGGACGAGGCGGAGAGGCTGCTGAAGGATTTCGAGCATCAGTCCGGGCTGGCGGC